ACCATCCCTGTGCTGAGTTCCCGGGTCTGTACACCTTCTGTGCCCATTATGAGGGGCCCCCACCATCCCTGTGCTGAGTTCCCGGGTCTGTACACCCGCTGTGCCCATTATGAGGGGCCCCCACCATCCCTGTGCTGAGTTCCCGGGTCTGTACACCCGCTGTGCCCATTATGAGGGGCCCCCACCATCCCTGTGCTGAGTTCCCGGGTCTGTACACCCGCTGTGCCCATTATGAGGAGCTCCCACCGTCCCTGTGCTGAGTTCCCGGGTCTGTACACCCGCTGTGCCCATTATGAGGCGGTCCCCACCATCCATTACGTGTTGTCACCAGAACAGGAAATCCAGCGAATCTTCCAATGGGGACACCTGATCTGATGACAACTTGGAGGGGATTTCCGTTCACTTCCTGTTGTCGGTGCTGCATGGGAAATGAAGCGAAATCTCCCTAATGGGGCACAGTTGGTTCAATAAATGATCAGGGGGAGGGGTCACATGGGGGGGGGATATTGTTCCGGTTGCGCGGTGCTCAGCACATTTGTGTCCGGCATGTGAAGGGTCAGCGGGAGTGGCGAGTCTCATTGGTGAAGAGCCTCGGCGGGGGAGGGGGAGCTCAGGTATCTGATATACAAAGTGATGGCGGCCACAGACGGGGCAGTTGTGGGAAGATCTGATGAGGATTGAGTTGTAGATGGAGCGCGCGGATTGTCTCTGCCATCCTTCTATTGGGTAAGGACATCAGAAGAGTGAGACGTGTTCCGTGTCCACTACCAGAGCAAAGAACCCAGAGGATCAGCATGACACCCAGACCGCCCTCATCACAAGGGGAGCTGAGCGGTGACGGCGGCCGTTGTTCTGTCATTGCGGTAAGCAAGCAATCGCACACAATGCACGATGGATCCCTCCCAGTCATGTGATCAGTGTGCGCCAAATGACGGCGAGTCCGCTGAGCTCTGCGCCGCGTCACGTGCAAAAGGGTTAAAAACACCGGCCCACTGGGGGATTTCCCTTCCTGTCCGGCAGACACAACCGGAAGTGAGAGTAAATCCTCACGTAATTGTCACCAGGAGAGGTGTCCCCATCTGAAGATTTCCTCTCTCTTCCTGAAGGTTCCCCATCATTACGGGAGGTCTCGTCAATAGTGACTGTGGGGGGAGGGGGGACATTAGAGTGTAAGCTACTCTGTACAGA